GATTAAAATTTGCTTTGATTTATTCCAATTGCTCATCTTACTTTTATTTTCAAGCCGATTTACTCTCATTCATCATGTTATCCCTTTGTAAAAGCTATTAATTTTAGATGTTTTACACATTATATTTCATTCAGCAGAATATTTTCTAAGCACAAATTTGTTGCAGGACGGGAAAAAAGTCGGGGATGAGGAAAGTTGGGGACAGAATTCGCAATTGGAGACCCCGAAAATGCGGCCGTCTTTAACATTGTCTGGGAAGTGGACTGGGAATTGGGGACGGGGTCCTTGAAATTCCCGAAGTTCTCCGCAACGCCGCACTATGCACCTCCTTGTTATCCACATTTTAAAACGGATTACCACATGATATTTACATCGCTACTCATTAGTCACGACAATCAGAGCATCCAAATGCCTTACTCACTTGGAATATCTCAGTAAACTTTTCATTGGAACATCCAAATATCCGTCAATTGCTCTCGTTTTCCTAATCAACCATAGATTATTACGCAATAGAACCACCCAATTCAATGCATTTTCGCACTAAAATTAAATTCATTCGCTCATTTCCGTCAAATTTATTATCAGGCTTATATCTTTCACTGAATTCTGTTGATATTATCCGATTACGTTGGTCACAGAAAGCCAGTTTGTGCCGTAAACACCAAAAAATGATTAGCAGTCAATACCGATGCACTCAAAAATACAGATGACATTCAAGTGTTCAGTTAATTTTAGGTTATTTAATTTTGAGCTATAATTTCAAGTTTTCCAGTTCAGAACATTCAGTTCTATTCTGTAATTCAGTTCTATATATAATTCAATTCTATAATTCAGTTTCATTCAATTTCGAGTGCAGGCGACTGAAAAGTCGTTGACAAATGTGCACTCCAATATCATCGTAAATAACAAGATTAAGGGAAGTGTTGAGTGAGACCACTAAGGACAATGTCATTGCTTGTAGAATTGTCAACAAATGTATTCCTCAAGTATAAGTTTCTAAAGTATCGTCAGCAGACAACAATTCAATTCTTTTTCGCGTCTAACGTAGTTCAGTTTCAAGTAGAACGCTTAAAGAATGAACTGTCACTATGTTTAATTTATACAACTCAAGGATGAGGGTACTAATATTGACTCGTATTTAATTACATCCATAAACGCGAATCAGACAAAACGTGATCATTGATCCCTGAAGCTCAAAAAGTAATGACCACGAAAATTTCGTTGTGGTGGAATGACGATTTGTTGAAATGATTAGTTAAATGAATGTTGGTTGTCAGAATCAGCTATGATTCGACGTCACAAATTAGGTGATGTTTTAAATTATGATCATTTCACACAACAGCGATCATCAACGGTCAGTCTGAAAGTACATAATCAAACATCAGCTGGGCATTTGAACTGAGGTTTATTCTTTAGTTTCCTAAAAAATGTAGCCGCTAGTAACCTTTTTAAATTATTAAGAATGCCCATATGCATTAATCGGAATGAATAGCTCATTAGCCTTTTCATTAGAACATCCAAATATTCGTCACATGTTCTCGTTTTCCTGATCGCTCATAGATTATTACGCAAAACGCAATCAGCGAATTCAATGCATTTTTACGCTAGCACTAAACTGATTCAATGGCTCATTATTGTCCTTACCATGTCGCCATCTTGTCCTCGAATTACTTTCGTCCTTGGTGGAGTAAACGTCAGTCACGATAAATAGTTTCCAAAAACATCACTGTGATTAAGTTACACAAATTATCCGCAATTCAAGCAAGAATTCGGCACCGTACATTCATTTTACTGTTTTTCACGTGATTGCCCTACAGTTATTAAAATTTTTTCTGTATGAAACTGTCAATTTGTCAATATTGATGTAGCAGAAAATCACCACAGTGTTTTCGACTTGTGAGCAGTCTATCTCCAAGTCTTACGATCTTGATAGCATAAGACTGAAAAGAAAATTAATGGTACGCACTCGACTTCATGCATTCAAACTAATTCGTTTCCTTGGTGATCTTTTGATTAAGATACGCATCGTCAAAGACGTATCACCAAAGATCGAGTTGCGTGGGTTACATATAGCAGGAAGATGTAAATCTATCAATGATCTTCGAACAACTTAAAGTGAAATCCGTTGAAATTAAAAATATCAAAATCTCACGTTTGAAATCGACTGAAAACTTTGAACCAATGTAAATAGAAAGGAATGTGTACAAAATGTGTGTGCCTTATGTACCTATGACAAGCACGTACGCTTCATGGGTTTTTCTGTAAATCCTCTTAACATAGAAGATGTTTACCACTTATATTGCAACCGTCTCGCAGCATTCATAACATCTACATTGAACTTTGCAAAAAAAAANAAAAAAAAATCTCTTCTCTCCCAATACGCCTTTAATATATTTTAGTTATATTGCAACCTCAAACCGTGGTTTTAACATATTCTCCAGTTGCAATGTTAATTCCTCAAAAATTAATAAAACTAGCTTAGTATCATAGTGGATCGTTGTTCATAGATTATACATTATGAATTAACGGAATTTGCATTATGGTCATTTTGTCATGTTCACGTTGGTGTCGCAAAAAGGTATGACAGGAAATAGATGATGACATAATGATGATGACTGAGTCGTAAAAGATGTTGCTCAGGAAATATTATAAAAGCTGATATCTTGAAGTTATTCACAGAAATGTTTGCGCTCATCTGAACACATAAATCCTCCAAACATGAATGCAGCATCATTCCGCTGTTTTGCAATTGCCACGCCTGTCTCTTGATTGTTCCGCACATCAGCAGTCGTCCAGCATTATGAAAATGTGAACGTGCTTGTCTCTTCAGTGCATCATTTGAATTTCATCACAGTCATTAATACGGCTGATTATTTCACACTGGATCTACTTGATGCGGTAAAGCATTGCTACTTTGTGTAAGCTGGATTTATTGATAAGTATTACATTGAATTAATCGTTATCATACACGATTCTACTTTATCAGCTAGCGTTTACGAAGTGATAAGTTGATGGCCCTCACACACCAGCAGTTTCGTCGAGAAGGTGATTTCAGTGATCGTATTCATTTACTGCACAAATCCTCTATGTTACGCTGATTGTTTCGGTTATATTATTGAGTTTGTCATTCGGTTATTGAGTTTCTTACCAGAAGATTGTTCATTTGATTCAATGTGAAAAGAACTAAAGCAGTCTTGAGCTATAAGTCATAAGTTGAGTGTTCAAGATAATTGATGAGGATGCTTTGTCTGGCATAAGGATTGGTATGGTATTTGATATGTTGCATTTATGAGATAAAACCTCATCAACTTTGAGACATTTCATCTTAAAACCTTTTTTCTACATTGAATTATACTCCTAGAATTCACTATGTTGAGAGCCATTCATCAGAAAATGCGATAACGACATTAACAATGTAATAATTCTCAGTGCTTTCCAATTTCCTCCTTCGCACTTGCTGACATTAATTATCAGGCCTTCATGACTACTTTACCAGCAGTCAAGCATTCTATCTCTTTAAGAAGCAATTTTAAAAAATGGGTCTGCATGTTGCACTAACTTGAAAAGTGCTTATTTGTCAACAGGATTAGCATGCTGAAGTGCAACAATCTCAAGTTTCGAAAAATTCTCAAAAAAAAAGAGAAAAAACCCTCTTATCGTTTGCGATTCGAAGAAACCAGTTGAACCAAAAAAAATCAGTTTCAGGTCTAACGAATGAGTCCATTCATTGGTACAGTGAGCCATTGGATGCGGATGACCTCTTTGCTGGTCTCTTTCTGATCGTTTTCGCATTGATCTTCGTTCCTCTCTACGCTCTGGTCGCATATGTGATGTTTCGTGACGACAAGGTAATTTGACGACAATATGCGTCATGCATAACTCAAATACATAAGCACAAACATAAACACGTCAGCAATTGCATGATTTCTCAATATGTCTTTTGAAGAGAAACTCATGCGAACGCGAATCATTTATAGTTCAAGTACTGAGGTTGCAATTCGAAACAGAAAACAGCAATTCAGTTTTGAAGAGGCGGCCAAATTTAAAATTGCAATCATTCCAGGTTGCAAATGAGTATGATTCTGAAGGGATCGTGATTTTGTAAAGGTTACATATGAGTCGCGTAGAACACATCTATAATGATCACAATGTTTCTTTGCGATTCTATCGTTGTCGAATGAAAATTTGAATTCTCTGACACTCAAAGATTTTCGTGTATGTCATCTATCTCAGCAGCATTCTGCTTTCAAAGTTCACAACGACAATAATTTGCTAATCGCTCAAGAGCGAAAGATGCAATAATTGAAAAACAATTAGCACATGAAGGTTTTCTTAGATGAGTGATTGCGATGTTTTCAATTTGTTGTGTTCATTTTTTCAGTTGTTATATGTACATTGGAATGTAGACCGCTTCACATCATCACATAATGCGATTATTGTAAAGGTCGCTGATGGAAATTGGGCTCGAAAAAATACCAGAAAAATGGGCGCATCGAATTAATGAAATCGTCTGCTTACTGATTCGATGAATCAGAAAAGAACTGTTGTTTGGAAAACTGAATTTCGTTTGGATTGCAGGAGATTATCGGATTTCGCTATCTGTTCAGTGCGGCAATCGCTGATATATTGTTGTTGATCAATTACGGTATTGTGCCAGGCATATCGATTTTGTTCAAATCACAACTGATCGCTCCGAATGCGCGACACTGGCTTCAGGTGAGCAATTCTGTTTTAGCCTATACAATTTAGGGTGATTTCAAATTTTCGTCTGTATTTCCGTTCATACCTGCCGTGGCTGGGAAGAAACTGCGAATGGTTGATGTGGAAATGTTGTTGATGTAACTGACAGTGCGAAAGTACTGCGCATGAGCATACGAACATGAATATCATCGTGTTTAATAGTCAGAAGTTAATTTCATGGATTTCGTCTCATGCATTCCTTTTTCTCTGAGTCATGTTTCAAACTTGTAAACAAGCTCAATTTTTCCATGCGATTGATCCGCGGAAAGCACCACAGCTCACAGACCGTTGATCGAGTGTCATTTCGTTGTGAAAAAATCTGTCTTATTCGTTCATCCAGTCATCCAATTAACACTTTTCGCTTCGCGATGGCAGTTTGGAAAATTAAAATTTGTTTGCGTCGTTTTTTTACGGAAATTTGTGCTTACGTTACTTTCTAGTGTCGAATCAAATTTGTTTCATGATGTTTTTCCATCGATGCCTCCCTCGTTCGCGATTAAACATCTCATGCAGCAGCAGCATCAGCAGCATCATTTTGAAAATCAAATTCAAAACGAACCAAACAAAGTCTTAAACTCATATCATTCCCAGCTTTACACTTCCTCGTTTTGCAAGCAACAAAGATCAAATTTCACATTTCAATCAATCACTAAACATTTACGCCACTATTGTCGATCAATCAATGCAAGTCGAGTGCATCCCGTAATGAACATCAACTTCTTCAGCACAATTACGTGNATCGGCAAGATTACTCTCGCCTTAATGAAGAATTTCATGAAATTCGAAGCAGCTCTGAAGAAGAAATGATCATTGATCAATGGTTGTTGCACTCTCCTTTCAATAGAAACTGATTCTTCTATTCTTCTTCACCAATAATAGTCTTACTATTGCTGCTGCCTGCCATTTGCACGCTATAAGATGTTCAGAAAAAGCTATGAGATAATTCAATGCCAAACAAACACGTCATCAATATTGGATTATTGTTAAAGTTTACTGTGTTCCATGCTTGAGTGAAAAACAATTATGGTGCATATTGTTTAATTGCTCAACAGTTGTAGTTCATCACATCAATCTATTGCAATAGCACATGAGATTATTTGTGGGGGAAAGAAAGTTTACATTTGAAATTTTATAAGATGAAACCTTTTCTGCATTTGGCTTCATTTAAGCTTCATTTCACACAATCCTGTTTATAGCAAGCTACCGAATCATTTCCACTGAAATCATTCAGTTCTCATGCATAGTTGAATGTACTCAAGCAATAATTGTGCCCTCAATTTCCTATTCATTAATGGCTCGCTCCACTTCATTTGTGCTCGTATCTCTCGCAATGATCACTGATATGCTAACATGAGATTCTCTGAAAAATGTCTGCGGACTTTTTGGACGATGTTCTTGATGAGTCGTTATAAGAAGAGAATTAATCGGTGCTGCCATTAGTAGCTGACAAATGCAAAAACAAATCGTTGAGGATTCATTAGTGTGCTTATCAAATGCACTTTGTTCCATTCAGTGATTCAAGATTAATGTGACAAAAAATACTAGATCAAGATTAATGACATGAAATAGATTTTGTATTGATGATCGGAAGAGGGTGAGGTTGAATACAGCAAAAGTAAAAGCATACTTCTGCACAGTGCTGTTGTTTGTTCACATGCAGTAATCCGTTTCAGATCTACCTTGACTGGGCATGGTTCTCAATGTGCTATCATTATTCACTGATATCGTGGTCGAGATTCGCCGCTATACGCTCACCGCATTCGTTTCGAATCCAATCAAGGTGCTTGTCCTACACGCTTTGTGCTGGTTGTTATGTGCTAGCGCTCATTCAGGTTTCTATCTTTTCCGCTATTCTTTTAACCGTTCAGTTTAATACCGTTTAAGTCGTCAATATACTTTTCGTTTCAGTCTTTTTGTACAAAGTCTCAATTTTTGTTTGACAGGAAATTTTTTCAGATCACCGCGGAACTTCATTTGTAAAAAGTGGTCATATGAGAAAAATTAGAATCTTTTTTTNTTTTTTTGAAAAGATTTTCTCTCTTTAAATTGCTACCATGAAACTGAAAAAAGTCTCGCAAAAGATGTGATTTACTTTTTCTTTCCTGCTCATCTTAAGATAAAAGATTCTTGATCGACTATTTAAGTCAGATAGTGAACATTTTTTTTTGTTTGCACGAGTGAATTTCAAATCTCTCAACGCATTCTTATCGCCGCATTTTTTCATGGTTTTTCTTTGGCGAAACACTATTTTCGCTGCTTATAGCAGTGTAAATGTTCCATTGCATCTGATTCAGTGAATTAGTCGCAGCGAGAAACGCATGAAAACAATTTTGAGATGTTTCAGGATACCATTATAACTCGTCATCGGTTTGGTTCTTCTCATATTTCACCGCTTGAAATTTCAGGTTCTCTGTACACATTTTCGAAGTTGGTATGTGACATTTTATTATGAGCCAAGCGCATACGGGATGTTATCGGAAAATTTCAATAAATACCTCGAAGACGGGCAGAGTTCATTCTTCATGTCGTTTCATGTTATCATGATGGTTATACCGCTCTTTTTCTACACGTAAGTGTTGCCGTGGCGTTATTCTCTTAGCAATTGCACAATTCAATCGCAAAATGACTGAATTCATAGAGATATTGCTGAGAGGAGGAATGGTAAGCGAATAAGGAACGATATAGTCAATTGTAATTGTCGAGAAGCAACCGTTAAGCTTCTGTGTTGTGTTCACACACAAATCACCTATGTTCCATGGAACTCGCAGAGATTTTCGTTTCCACTCAAACGAAAACTCTTGCATGCAGATGCACTGAAGTGAATCATTTCTTCAGATGGTCAATATGGCTTCTGACGAAACACCGTAATGGCATTACGACGAATCGAAGAAGGTCCTCATTCTCTTCAGTGATCACAAAATCAAAATCACGAGTTGAAATGAGGTACTTTATTGATGCACTCAGTTCAAAGTTTTGTTCCACATTTTTCTTTAGAACTGTTTTCATACTGAAAATCGTAGCACAGCGACAATCGTATTNNATCACAAAATCAAAATCACGAGTTGAAATGAGGTACTTCATTGATGCACTCAGTTCAAAGTTTTGTTCCACATTTTCCTTTAGAACTGTTTTCATACTGAAAATCGTAACACAGCGACAATCGTATTTGGAGCCTGTTTTTTACGCATCGATAACCATTGACGAACACACAATTGAGGGAACACTGAGGAGAAGTGGTTAAAGGCAGCGATAAGAGAGCATTGAAATTGCATGAGAAATATTGATGAGACTCGTATTTGAAGCTCGGGTCCTGACGGTACAACAATGTTTTATCGAAATATTCGAATCGCTGCATGAAAGCATGTTCAGTGAATGGTTCAAAACATGAGCGCTTTCGTGGAATAACCAGTGATGCACTTTCAGACTTATTTTGCCGTGTGTCTTCAACGCTGTTGTGTTCACAATAGGTCAAGTGTTGATGACAATCGGTACAGGTGAAGGGAAATGGGCCACCTGGTCTGTAATGGTTCTTTTTAGCACCAACTCAGCTGTCAATCCTGTGCTGCTGATTATTTTCTCGGCTGTCATAAGGTTAATTTTCATAAATTTCTGTCCATCGCGCCATATCAGTTCAAGATTGAATGTTCATGAATTGATTTATGATCAATCCATATGATGGATCTCCAGAAAGTATCCTACCCAGCAGCACACATTGTATTGTTTGTGTGAGAGTGTTTGGCAGTAAGCACCCTGAATAATGCATCAAAAAAAGATTGGATTCAAGGCTGTGCTTGCATCTGTTTCATCTAATTTCAGAAGAAGATTGATGCGTTTCTTGTGTTCACTCAAATCCGGCTCGAAAACGTTTACCGTTCTACTGTACAACAATAACAACAACAACAACAGCGCTCAGATTATACGTTGCCCAATTCCAGCACATCGCTATCAACAAACAGAACCACTGTTGAAATCTAAGCTCATGGAAAAGAGTTACATTTTGAAGATACCAACGCCTATTTCAAATATTTGAATTTGTCTACGTTCTTGAGTCTGTTCCTTTCTCGTGTTGAAGGCACTTCTTCGTTTCAAATACTGCACCCTCGTTAGACCGTCAATTCATTCTTGTGTTATGAAACATTTTATGACACAAGAACTAATTGATAGTCTTCGCAATAACTGACCATTATTCATTCATTAAGTATTTAGGCATTCACTAAGCAGATATGTATCGTTTTATAAATTGCCCTCTAAAACCCTCCTGAGAGTCCCATTTCAGTTATTCACAAATCGGACGTCTGCGATAAGTGCCAACTAAAAAGCTACTAATCATTGCCGAGAAATGTTTTGCATTATCATTTTCAGCATTGCTAAAAACATGTAATGCAAAATTATCTGTGCAAAAAGCGATATTACAGGTGAATTGTTGCATTTTGAGACTGATTGCCATCATCAACTTTTCAACTCGTCGCACCAGAAACTCGCCCACCAGATCATTTCGAATCCATCCAGTCCCACCTCAAAATAATCGTCTCTTCGATTTTTTTTGACTGGCAAAAAAAATTGTCTTCAGCGCTATCAGTAATTGAAACACGTTGTATGGACACAAAGTCAAACAAATGATTTCGCACGTGCTGAAAAATCTTCTCAGTTACTTGTGTCGCAATTTTTTGGGGGGCATATTATTATATCTTGCTTTGGAGTTACAATTTTCAGTTCAAATGTTCCTCATTGGTTGTTTTCAGTGTGTGATTATGAAATGTAAATTTTGTGCTATTTACACTTTATCGTTTGTTGATTATGAATTCGTTGTGGGTTGATTGTATAGTTTCAGTTGTTCGTAAAGGTTTCGTGATTGTCTTGATTCACTTTGTATCATACTTTACAGAGATATTTCTCTATTGTTTCCCATTGTACAGGTAAATAATATGTGTAAACTTCTTCAATCTTTCATGTGAATATTCACTTTTTTTGCTATATGTGTTGTAATTTGTTGATCATTGTCTGTAAAAAATCGTCGATCTCTTCAATTTTTCATACTTTACATTTCATAAAATACGGAATCTTGACGTGTTTTGTCCTCCTCAATTACCAATCAGTCAAATGCACTGAATTAAAACGGTTGATGTTCTAATCGAAACACACACAGAAACTGTTCCGGTAAAATGAATCAAAACTATTTTATAATGCATCAGATTTTGCTACGATTAAGCAAGAAACTGCAAAAGCTTTTGCAAGCAGGAAGGCTAAAAAAGATGCAAATGAAAAACATCGTTGCAGAGTTTCTCAGACAAGCATGAATAGATGAAGTTGAACATGGTGCGTAGAAAACTTTATTATTGCTTCGTTCAATTGTCGATGATGCTTATTTATTGGCCACAAAAACTGTAATTTGCAATTGTTAGCAGCACCATTCAACCATCATATAACCGTTTTGAGTTCGATTCTGAACTCGTGCAGAGTACATTGGCAAAAATCAATCAATCTTACAGGACAAGTGAATTCCTCTTGCACGAATGCTGAACTCAGCTACCGTAAAGTGTAACAGTAGGAACGATCAAATTGCAGACTATTCAAATGTGGTAGTTCCATGAATTGATATTTCCGAGTCGAAATAACCCGCAGATGAGAATTTTTGAAATATTAATGAATGAGAAAAGTAATCCGAAAAATAGGTAGGTGTGAAGTTAGAGTGTTCTCAGTCGTTGCATTTTAGCTGAACTGATAAATTGCGGAAATTGCGATGAGATTCTCGCGCTCCACGAAATGCTTGAATTCACTAGAATCATAGCACAAATGCAAATGGCTGATGGAAACTTGTGTTTGAGACGCTTCGTTAGATATTTACGTGAAAAATTGATGGACATTTTCACATGACAACATTTTCGGTGAAAACGAAATGGTAAACAAAATAATGAATTCTCAAATAGAGCAGTCGGTGGTTCTCAGAAAATGATGTTCCTCGACGTCTCATTCTTTGTTCTCTTGAAAAATGGTTTGAATGAGGTTATTTTTTGGATGGAATTATAAATTAAATGGCGCTTCGATTCCCTTAATAGAACAGAAATTATCGGTGATTCAGAAATGTTGTTCCGCTTTCTTCGCATTTGTTCATTTTTGCAAGCTTA